ACCGGCTTTACCATACATCTTTGCAAACTGCGTCCATGTCGTCTACATTCCTAAACCTGTCCTGTTATTTTATATCTAATTTTTTCACTCCCCAACAATTGCCTCCTTGGCTAAGTGGTAAAGCGTCGCACTTGTATCAACTGTATATGCGAAGATCGCTCGTTCGATTCGGGCAGGTGGCAAACTTCATTTTTGCGTTTTTTTTGAGGTTTAAACAATATTTGAACATCTTCCGTTCCTCTCTTGTTCTTTTTGCTTTTGTTTGCAACTCTCACCAAGCGCTATCGTTCAACGCCTACTCTAAGTTCTTGTTGTTCACGTTCGCAATGCGCAGATCCTCTGAGAACGAACGTCACATAGCTGTCCTTCGAGTGGGAACATATTCCGTTGACATACTCACCTACACTTTCTGATGCTGTGTCATTAGATTTGCTCTTGATTTAAGCATATACCTTCTTTCTTTGCATTTTGTAGTTAGACATATGCCAAAGCATTTAGTTAGTTACGTATTCCTATGTTACTAAACTACAGCCTGGTTCGATACGGTCTATAGATTTCCCGTCACCAATAGTACAGGTGCCAGAACCGACTGCAGAGGAAGCAGACGGAAACAATACCTGATATTACGAGAGCGATGTCTACAGACGATGATGAACTTCTCTAGACACACGGACTCTCGACCGGGGCCGCCCTGGGGTCACAGTGCAGCGCGCAACTGTAATCCACACCGATATCCAAGACCTGCCCAATCCGGAAATGTCTACCTAGCACCAGATTCAATGCACCCTTTTTCCACGCAAACGATTATCACCGCGTCTCTGACCGTCTCTGTATGTTTTTAATTCATGAATAGTGAATTTCCGACGCCTATCCCGTCCTAAGTGTATTTGTAAATATTTGTAGCATGCGCGATGTTCGAGATGCTCCCTACTGCCAAGTGCCCTGCCGAAACACCAAGGCCCCCAAGCTCAAACCACAAGTGCTGCATCATCCGCGTATCAAACACATGTTCTCAACGGGACCACCGTCTAGTGGTGGAAATCACGCATGTCAAGCTCAAGAAAGGCGAGGCGAGGCTGAGCTTGTAGACTTGGCTGTACTCGTACGTGTTTGGGAGTAAACGCGTTTCGCAGACTGCTCGAAGCTCGTAATTTGACGACCGTCACGCAAAGTATACATGTACCGAATATCCCCACAATCCCTTTTTTTCTTTCTCCCTTCTCCATACTGCCGTGCGGTACCTCACATCCTTGTTGTTCTTCTTTTCGATTCTTGACTTCTGGCCGGTCCATCATTTCTCTATCGTAATTTTAATTCTACCTACTACCTACCCCATTGCATCCCCGGTACCGCCACCATGTACAAGCAAATCGTCACTCTCTCGCTCTTGTCTCTGACATCTGCCCTGCCCCAACGAAACCGCGGCGGCGGCAACGGCGGCGGCCAACGACAACAAGCAACCGCTTTTCAACAAGCCGCCCAAGTCCCCCAGGGCATAAGCACTGCGACCGACGGCTCCATGATCCTCGACGACACAGTCATGGTCAACAATCTACCCATCCGCTTCAAAATCTCTGCACCAGCAGACCAGTTCCTACCTGCGTCAGGCGTGCCCGGTGCAGCAGCTACTTCGTCCAACGGCACGCTCGGCGCAAACGTACTGCTGCATGGTGATGGTGGACAGAGTTTCTTCGACATGCCGAATCAAGCCGTGCAGGCCAACACCATGGGCGTCGCGCTTCTGGCACCCGATGACAATCTGTTCTGGGGCGGAGGTGCGGGCTTGCAGCGAACGGATGGTGTCGCACACGCGCAAGCCGTGAATGACTTTATCCAAACCGAACTCCCAGCACGTGTCGCGGTCAACATGTCCAACATTGTCTTCACAGGTGTCTCGGGAGGCAGTCTGATGATGTCTGGTTTCTTCATCCCAGCGCAAATGCAAAACTATGCCAACTCGGCTGTGGAGCTAAACTGTGGTGGCATGCCTCCTCAGGTGGCGTTCCAGAATGCGGCCACTGTTATGCAGCAGACAAGGATACACTTCCAGTCTACACAGTCGGAGCTTCAGTTACTGCAGGGGAGCATCCCGCAAGCCGTATCAGCCTACGAACAGCTAGGCGCAGACGCAGGTCTATCTGCTGCACAAATCAATCAGCTGCAGACTGTGGACAACACGCCGCAGGGAGGGCATTGCGAGTTCGACGGACAGGATTTTGTGAGTGGTGTGCAGACCATGTCGAGCAGCTATGCAAATGTCATGCAGGGTGGCAATGGGGCGGTGCAGGGTATCGGGGCGCCGAGCACAGGTGTGGTCACGACGGGTGTTGTTGGAAACGAGAACTTGCAATTTGTGGGTGGGAGGAAGCGCGAGGTGGACGTGGAAGCGAGGAGCATGGTACAGATGCGGTGGGCGCAGGATGTTGTTGAGGAGCCGGACTTTCAGATGCTGGCGTGCGATAGGAGTTCGTGCTCGGCTGGTGAGCCTAGGATCTAGATATCCAAGTTCAGTATATAATGTTGTATCTCCCGGACCGATGGCTGACGGCCCTTCTCAAAAAGTTTCCCTATCGCATTACTTCTGTATTCATTATCCATCACTGCAAAGAGCTAGACATTGTGGTTGGTCGTAATGTTCATTTGACTGGTATTGTGAAGGTCGTCCCATTGCTAATCGTAGTTGCAATGTCGTCTCCCAAATCCTTCACCCCGTAAATGCATTTTCGCCGTGCCCGTGAACCCATGAATGTTATCGAAAGCAGGAAAAGAGACACCTCACATGACGACACCGGAGTTGGAGGCGATACGCTGTACGTTGTTAGCAGAGTTTTGCGCAAGGGTGGTGTTTGACGTACCGGCCACAGCTCAGCGGCCTCCTTTGCGACGGGTCCAGTGATGGCAGAGCCCTTCATCTCACCCTTGGGGTTGACGATGACACCGGCGTTGTCCTCGAAGTACAGGTAGATGCCGTCTGCTCGCCTCCATGGCTTGCTCTGGCGGACAATGACGGCGGGCATGACCTTCTTCCTCAGCTCGGGCTTTCCCTTCTTGACGGTCGCCATGACCATGTCACCAGCACCGCCAGCGGGCAGGCGGTTGAGGCGCGCACCAATACCCTTGACGGAGATGATGTACAGGTTACGGGCACCGGAGTTGTCGCAGCAGTTCATGACGGCGCCGCTGTTTCCATTAGCCTGTGTTCCTCGAATATCCTGTTTCGCAATCGGGAATGTCCTGGTCGGGCGATCGCATCGGGATCAAACGTACACTGGCAGACCAAGAGTCATCTTGAGCTTGTTACCGGAGGTAGAACCTCGACTGCGGACTGTTAGCAATCTTCCTCTTTCACTGTCCACCTGCGGCGACAACAACAACGTACCCGCGCTTTCCAGACATGTTGATAGATTATCGGGGGGGATGTTCGACTTGGGCGGGTTTCGGGTGCGTCGTCGCTGGAGTTGTCGTGAGCGCTGGAAGTTCGTCCAGTGGGTTGCAGACGACGAAATTGTGTGCGCGCACGGACTCCCGCTAGCGTCATTGCAGCAGAGACCCCAACACCAACACCAACACCAGTACCAGCACCAGTAGCACAGCAAGACGACACCCGTCATGGAACATTTCTGGGAGGATGCGCTTCCAGGTATCTGTGCTTATGAAGCTGCCTGCCCAGCCACTTTCTGCAAGCGTTAGGCGCATCTACTCTGCCACAATCACGATTCTGGTGATACTCTGAAGCGAAGAGAGCTAGGTGCCCTTCCAGATATCGCATTCGATGTGAACAACAAAAACCTTGATAAAACAGTTGATAACGAACATGAAATTCGTCAGCCCTCAGTCGCCTGAGAGGCCCCTATGGATCACCTGGTCGAGACTTCCGCATACCGTGCACCAAGTTACACTGCAGATGCAAACATCCATCCATATTCCGTAATCATAGCCTTTGTCAAGTTTTCTACCTGTTCACACCTGGACCTGAATAAGTTTTTGCGAAGTAAAGTATTGACGAGTTCCCAACCGGAACTGATTCGGGCTGAGAAGACATCCGCTTTCACCCGCCGCAAACCCCTGCAGCACCGCATGAAGCACTGGTGCATCATTGTTTGTACGTCGTATTCGACAATACGACGTGTCGCCCTTGCCGCAGCTATTTCGCGATAGCTTCCACACAGTACCAAAGGTCTGATGACAGGTCATGCAATTCGCTGACAGCTTAGGTTATAGGTGGGGTCTCACACGAGTTGATCTAATGTCCAAGATGCGGTTGGAAATCGTGGAACCAATTATGGAATAGAAAAACCCAAGTCGAAAATATCGCTGGTCCCGTCTTGCCTACTCGCTATGGTAGAAAGCGGGTATATAACTAGCGACCGAGTACCTAGCTTAGGAAGCAAACCGCGACCCAGAAATCCTCGCAAGTAGGTACCTAGGGCTCAGAGTCCCAGCTAACAATTATCAATTGACGGTGTCGCGCAATAATATACCGAAGAAACAGAAGTACGCCATGGCTGGGGGAGGCGGAACAAGGAAGTTCTCAGAATATGAAAAGGCTAGGCTTGTTTGCGCAAGACCAGGCGACGCAAAACGTAGACCTGCGCGAACAGCCACTGAGAATCTTCGGCGAGCTAGGATCGTCATCATGGCCAAAGCACCAAGAGTGACGGTCAACACTAAAGGTTGCATCGCGCTCATCATAACAAGCTGTACCCCGCGAGTCCCCGCAAAGCACTACCGAGATTTAGCCCGACCGAGCTCACCCGAGGATTCCGCCCTCCGCCAGACCCCAGATTAGGGATCAAGGCCGACCACGCTTTTCGTATTGACTTACGATGGGGCTAGGGCCGCGAGAAATTGTGCTGGTACAAGCAACTCCACATGCCGAATGACGATGGTACCACAGTCAGAGCGAGCCCGGAGCCCCACGGTCCGATTGGAAAGCGTTGCGTGTATAAAAGACTTGGTAGGTACTATGGAGATGTATCAAGCACTCCTTGGCTAGCACTATGAAGCCTCAAGCTCTTTTGGCATGCGGGACAGTGGCTCTTGCCCAGCAAGTCTACATACCGGCTGAAGGACCCGCCTCACGACCACAATGCTCAGCGAATGGTTCATATGCGACTGCGTTGCCTTCACCCCAGTACACGTTCAGCGAATTCAGCTTCACACAGACTGAGACAGTTCGTACAGCAAAGTCTGCCCCAGCGCCTACCACTACGACTACCTACGCACCCCCATATGCGTCACTCAGCAGCTTCGTGCCGAATCTGACGACAACGCAATGGGGAAATTGGGACGCAAAAGTCACCCCGTCAGCGACTGACTTGGGAAGTCCGTACGGCAATGCGTCATGGACAGCTCTCTGGACAACCGTACCTTGGCCGTCCAATTTCACTAGCTATACCGACAACGCCATTTATTCTTCAACTGTCGAGCCAACTCCAGTACCATCCAGCGAGCTCATCCTGCCACCACCCGAGCCATTGGTGCCTCAGCAATGCTACACTTTCCCAAAAGACTTCATGCTTGGTGTGGCGGCATCAGCAGTCCAGATTGAGGGAGCTATCGCCGAGGAAGGACGAACGCCTGTTCACAACGATGTTGCAAGCTTGAGCACTCCAGGTCGATCGCCAAACTGGATCGCCAATGAACACTACTACTTGTACAAGCAAGATATTGAGCGCATCGCTGCTATGGGAGTCAAGTACTACAGATTCTCCATCCCCTGGACGCGTATCCTTCCGTTCGTTCTGCCGGGTACCCCAGTCAATAAGCAAGGTCTTTCACACTACGACGACCTCATCAACTTCGTTCTGGAGAAAGGAATGCTTCCGGCTATCGTTCTCTACCACAATGACTCACCCCTCCAGTTTTACTCAAACATCAGCAATATCTTCATCACGCCCGGGACAGGGGGTATCGGTTACTTGGACTCTTGCTTCCAGTGCAGCTACAAGAATGTTTCATTTGAAGACGCTTTTGTCAACTACGGAAAGATTGTCATGACGCACTTTGCGGACCGCGTGCCTGTCTGGTGGTCGTTCAACGAGCCGCTGCTAGGCGCAAGGAATGGCAAGTCCATCGATGCTGTTATCAAGTCTCACGCGAGGCTTTACCACTTCTACCACGATGACATTGGTGGCACGGGAAAGATGTCACTCACATTCAACGACAACTTTGGCGTCCCGCGTGATCCAGAAGACCCTGCAGATGTCGATGCAGCCAACCACTTCAACTCCTTCCAGTTAGCCACATTTGCAAACCCCATCTTCCTCGGCACTGATTACCCAGAATCATTCACAAGCAGTATCGCTGACTACGTGCCCTTGAGTGATGAGGATCTGGCATACATCAATGGGACAGCCGACTTCTTTTCCATCCAACCCTACACCGCAACCGTGGTCAGCCCACCACCCAACGACACCATCGCCGACTGCGCCGCTAACATCACTCACCCCCTCCGTCCTTACTGTGTCACCCAAAGCACTCTTACAACCACTGGCTGGAACATTGGATATCGCAGCCAATCCTACGTCTACCTTACCCCGAGCTACTTGCGCACCTATCTCAACTACCTCTGGAACACCTGGCGCACTCCCGTCGCCATCACAGAATTCGGCTTCCCCGTCTTCGCCGAGGCACAGAAAGAACAGGTAGACCAAGAGTTCGACAGCCCGCGCAGTTGGTACTACCAGACCTATCTAAACGAGGGCTTGAAGGCGATTTGGGAAGATGGCGTCAACTTTATTGGCGCGTTCGCATGGAGCTGGGCGGATAACTGGGAGTTTGGTGATTATGATCAGCAGTTTGGAATTCAGACGGTCAACCGGACGACGCAGGTTAGGAGGTATAAGAAGAGTTTCTTCGACTTTGTGGATTTCATCGAGAGCAGGCGACAACATGCGTAGTAAGTGAAATGAGATAGCAATACCAACATATCCCGTGTAAATACAAAGATCTTACGGCTATCAATAAATGAGTCCAGTGTCCACAGCACACTGCTATCCCCCCTTAAAGTCGACTCACAAATCCACTCCTATCCATCTTGACCAGATACTCGCGCCCAATATCTTCAACTCTCGTCACACCCGCAAGTCCCATACACAATCTAAATTCATCACCAAGCAATCTCAACGCCAGCTCCACACCTTCCTGCCCCTTGTACGCCAAGCCCCAAAGAACCGGCCGTCCCACCCACACGAAATCCGCTCCCAGCGCCAACGCCTTGAAGACATCCGTCCCGTGCCTAATCCCGCCATCAACATGCACAGGAATCTTCTTGCCAGAGGTCCCAGTCTGTGAACGAACGGCGGCGACGACTTCAGGCAGCGCATCGATGGTGGCTAGTGCGCCGTTTAGCTGGCGGCCACCGTGGTTGGAGACGACGATGCCGTCGACGCCGTGGTGCACGGCGAGCAGCGCGTCTTCGCCTGTTGCGACGCCTTTTACCCAGACTTGCATTTCTGGGTGGCATTGTTCTTTCAGCCAGGCTATGTCGCGTTCCCAGCAGAGGGTAGGATTGGGGGCGTGCGTGTGGAATGTTATTGGGCCGCTGGGCGGTCGTCGCCCACTTCGTTTTCGCGATTCATTTGCTTCGGCTGTTGCGGAGGCGGTCTTGTCTTCTTCTTTTTCTTCTTCTTTTACTGGTGTGTCGTCATCTTCGTTCTCCTGGTTGAAGTTTGCGACTTTGAGGTGTTTGGGCAGTTTGAATTGGTTCCTGATTTCTAGATTCCGGCGACCGAGGACGGGGGTGTCGACAGTTAGCATGACGGCTTTGTAGCCTGCTTTCTTCGCGCGTTGGATGAGCTTCTGGCTCTTCGCGCGGTCTTCGAAAAGATAGAGTTGTAAGGCCCCTGGGTGCTCGCCCAACGCTCCCTTGACGTCTTCCAGACTCGTCGTACTGAAACTGCTCAAGCCCATTACGACGTCCATGTTCTTGCACGCGCGCGCAGTCGCCAGTTCGCCGTCGCCGTGGGCGAGGCATTGCATTGCGGTTGGCGCGACGCCGAGGGGAAAGCTGTTCTTGTGTCCGAAGACATCTACGGTTGTGTCGATAGAGGAGATGTCGCGGAGCACGCGTGGTCGGATGCGGTATTTCTGGTATGCGGTGATGTTCTCGAGGAGGGTGGAGCCAGAGTCTGCGCCTTCATTGTAGTAGTCGCGGGTCTGCTTGTCCATGCGCTCTGCGGCGAGCTTTTCGAGTTCGCTGATTGTGAGGCAGTTCAGGTCATGGGGGGTCTTTGTCTGAGACATGCTGGGCGATGCGGTAGGAGGATGCGATGCGACGAGAAATAAAGCGATGCGGGTGTATTTGGGGGTTTGTACAGGACGTCAAGGTTGACGACAGCGTCGGATATCCAAGGAAAATGGAGATCAGCCATCTTTGGTAGTTACGTCGGCAGACTTATCTCCAATTCGGCTATAAGATTGTTGATGACGATGTCGATGTAGCGCGGAAGCTATGGCTTGCCGATCTCGGAAAGACGCGTTAACTTGCCGTTCGTGCGAGCGCGGGATGTCGCGTGTCGAACAATATCATCAAGTATCGCGACAAACTCATCGCGAAGGGACTTACCGAAACCGGGGCAACTGGTGTGAATATCATATCGCAGATTGATCGCGATGGTAGATGCACTGGTAGATGCATGGAATGAGTGTATGAATCAAAGTCTATGGAAAGCAAAAAGAACACGCTACGACAAAAAGCCGATAGGAAGCAATGAGCGACGAAGACACAAGATGCAACGCGGGGAACAAAAAGAAGCAGGACGACCCGGGAAACAGTGAGAGCAAAGAAGAAGTAAAACCAAGGAAACCATACCCATTGACCACTCGTAGTTTAACACAAACCCAGTTCGTCACATCCAGAACATACCTTCGTCAAGGTTCGGGTGCCATGGGTTCAGCCTCTGTGGACTATTTGGATCATCGTTGTAGTTGTCACCCCACACGTGTGAATGCAAGAACTTCTTGACCATCGCGTTCTTCTCGTCCAAGATCTCCTTGTCGGTGGCCTTTCGTTCGTTTCCATCGGCACCATAGTACTTCTCGTACGTAAAGACAGGTTCTGCGAGTTCGTTCTCTGCCCAGAGACGTATGTAGGATCTGCCCCGGTCGCATAGTCTATCGGCTACATATGCGGGCGTCGCGTACGAGACCCCGGTGGTAGATCGTCCGAAGGTGTAGCAGAGCATCATCGTCAACTGCTTCAGATTCGCTTCGCTGATGTTGGTATCGTTGCGGAGCACATAGTAATGAGCTGAACGTGCGGTACCCTTGATCGCGCAGTGGGATTGCAAGAAGAAGTTGGTGGGTTTGGGCGCTGTGACGATATCATCCACAAGAAGCCCGGCTTTGACGTTACCGTTGACATAGAACCTATATTGAGGTCCATCCTTTGGGGCGTTCTGAATTTTCTCCCTGGAGTCGTATGAGGTCTTCTTGTCGGCAGCGTAGAAGCGTGTGTGATGACGCTTACTGACAACAAGGAAACATACCTTGAGCTGGTCAGGTTTCCCTCCAGCCTTCTCGTACGCCTCCTTGATCTGTGGAATCTCGAGTTTTTCTACGGCGGCGAACTGTGACTCAGAGACGCCGTCACGATAAAACAAGATCATTGTTGGAAGTTTCTCATTGTTGTGTGACTTCCAGGTCTCGAGCCGTTCCATTATCATACTGCAAAGGTTGGCTTCGTCGATTTGCTCCTGGCCGCCGGCTTGGAGCCTCATGGAACCGCGATAGCTCATGAATTTAGCGTCGACCGTACCCACGACGCAGGCGATGCTCGGAGTACCGATCTTCGCGCCGTGGCCAGGATGAGTGACATCCGATCCTAATATCATGGTGTTATTTCGGAGTTCTCCTACGAGTACCTCGTTCAAGTCGTCATCGTTAAGCCAGTGATTGTCGCCGCCCAGCTTCAAGTTGACCTTGAGAGCCATGTTAGAGAAATGCTGCGAACGAAGTCCACCATCATCCGCAATCTTCTCCCCAACAGCGCAGATCGTATGATGTCCTAAGAAGTCACCAGCCCGCTTAATTTTAGCGTATATGTCAAAGTTCTTCTTCTGGAGTAGCACAACTGTGCAATCATCCTTCTTACACTCGCTAAACCAAACCTGGAGTTTCGATTCTAGCCCGTCACTTGTGTAATTGTAACTGGGCACATATCCAGCTACAGCACGGACATGATGTGAATTGAGCTGTGAGGTGAAGTCGTCTCGGATATCTTTACTTGTCGATTTCTGTTTAGGCCTAAAGCATCCCGACATAGGAAGAACATGAAGTTCGTTGAGCGTGCGTGGCTTCGTGAAAGCAGCACCTTGTAAGTTCCAGGATGCTCGTTCTTCGTTCATTTTTGGCACGAGCTTGGTGGTAGTATTCTCGGATTGTCGCTCATAAAGAAGACGAGGCAGGCGTAGCTTCTTGGCTGAAAACCTTATCAGCTTTGAGTTGAGTTGGAACCCCAAATCCCCCTACTGTTCGTTAGCGGGCAACATGTTTACTGGCCTGGGTACTCACAAGTTGTTGGGTGCTTCCAGCACCAGCTTGGGGCTTGAGGCCAAGGATTCGCAAGCCTTCTCGTTCAATCAGAGCTGCATTCTTCGCTGGCAGGTGCAGAGCATGATTCAACATCTCGGTGGTTTGCTCAGGGCTCATCTGCCCTGTCATGGGTTGGTAAGGCAGTATCTCGAGGAGACACGCAGGAATCCACTGCGCGCCGTCTATAGATTGCAGACGCATATCTTTCGGCTCCTTACTTCCAGGCGACTTGACACGCTTGCCAACGTTGACACACTGGAGGTCATTTTCAGTTCCTCCTGGCATTTTTACCTTGATGTCTACGATTGTCAGCTTCTTTCAATTCGGAACAGAATAAGAACCTTACCTCGGAAGTATTTGAGAACAGAGGTTCCCCTGTCAGTTGAACCTACGTGGCCTTTGCTGGTTCTGTCCTTGCCAAGAACTGTGAAGAACGTCTGTTTGGACGCAGCTAGGCCGAACTGTTGGAAGACCTTTGTGCGTGGGAGCTCGTCGTTGATAGAGAAACCGGCCTCCTTGTTGTCTTCAAAGTCTTGACGACGGTAAGCTAGTCTCACCCGCTTACCTCTCAACATCTTCTCGACGTCTTGCTTCGGCAACAAATTCAACAAGTCCGAAACAAGTACGGGGGATAAGAACGCCGTTGTGGCCACATTGACGTTGAGCAATAAGCCTGAAGCCCCGGGTCTGATCGACATGTAGTAGCCGCGAACTGTACGCAGCCCTAGGTTCTTGTTGTTGCGACCGAACATATCCTTGAAGCCTTGATCAAGGTAAAACTTGTTCGCGCCGAGTTGCGTAATCGATACAGTGGAGTCATTGTTGTAATGGCGGACACACTGCGCTACATAGGCGTTCAAAGCTCGAACGTAGTCGTTACTCTTGGAGATATGTTCCAAGCGGAGTACCTTTTCGACATCGCTCAAAACCTCACCCTTCTTCAATGTCGCGTGAACTTTATAGGTCCGACCATCAAGAAGTTTGCAGTCGAATTCTGACGTGTCCCACTCAGTGTCCTCTTGGCCCGGCCCCTTCATAGCAGAATCGCACCAAAGGCTCCTGAAGTCAGTTGCCCATGCCTTTTTGCTCTCCTTCAAACCCAGCTTATTCGCCGCGTGCATGGCGTTGAACGCACGCTCCAGCTCTAGTCGCTTCTTGAGCTCAACACGCACTCCAGCCTTCAATGGATCAATGCTTAGTCTCCAGAATGTCAAGGTATACGTATGGAGCTGAGGGGGTACTTTGAGCACTCGTACATAGTTGCTGATGACGTTGAGCTTGCCCAGAGATGCTGATGAACCTACCAGCTCAGTTCCGACCTTAGGCAAACCCTCTTCGGGAATCGCGTCTGGAATCTCTTGAACTTCTAATGTGTGGTTCTCGTACTCGACTAAGCCGACATTATCGGTCGGAATGGTCTTTCTGTTCTTGGCGGGCGTGTCGGATGTATTTCCAGAGGCACTGCTAGATGGCATATCTACTGCGATGGGTGGGTTGACTGTTCGGACCCCACTTTCGGTCGGGTTATCTGCTTCAGGCTGAACTCTCTCTTTGATAATTCTAGTGCGTTGGTCCTGGAACCACTCTTCGGCGAGCACCCTTTCTATCGCTGGTGCGAACTTATAATTCCCCTTCGACCAAACTTGGCTAAAATTCTCGGTACATTCGTTGATATGACCGTGCGTGTCCTTACCGCATCTCATGCATATATCGCCGGTGGATGTAGAAGCCTCCATCTCACGAAGTAACTCGGCTTTAAACTCGTCGCCGAATTTTCTGCCTGCGGTTTTGGGTGGCATGCTGGTCAGGGTGAAACGCTGATTTAAATCGATGGGATAGAAGTTGGTATCAAGGTGAAGAGAGGTGGTTATCTGACTGTGTAGTGCCAGGTTCCTTGTGAGTAAAGCAGTTGTATTATATGTTAGTCTTGAGGTGCCCAAACCACTAAGCAAGCACCACACAATGAGACAGTTCACTTGTTGTGTAAAACGTTTCCAGCCAACTTGTCTCAAAGCAAGCGACTAGAGACTGTCCAGTGTAAATCGTCGAACCGTGTCCTGCTCACATGGTTCATCTACACAAAGCACTTACTAAAGCACGTGGATCACTCCCTGATGTTGAGCTTGCAGTGTAAGCAAGCCGCTGTCGAGAGGAAGCAGGTTTGCGAAAGATGACTGTAAAACGTGAAGTCGAGGAGCGTCGCTAGGAACACCGCCTTGAGATACGAACGGCAGGTGTATAGTAATTACGACATGATAAGGGGTAACGGGGCTCGTGCAGAGCGTATGATGGAATACAATGTGGTGCATGGTAGTACGCCGAGCTTCATGCTATATTCGAGTCGGGCTCAGGGCCAAGAGTGAGCATATGAATACTTCTCGTTACAGCTTTGATCTTGTATCAATAGAATATGAACCGTGAAGAAATCCATTCATGAGCCTTGGTCCTATTAAGCCCTATACTGTGCTGAAGCGACAGCAAAGGTGTTGGAGGGAAGACAACGACTTTAACGTTAGCGCTTCCCAGGTCGGAATCAACTCTGGTTTCGTGCTGTAGACTGCACCCAAAGACAAAAGCCAGCCTTCTCTTCATAATCATCGCTGTTGTGATCTCTCCAAGTGTGTTCGCTCATTGTGTTTGTAACCTGCTCACAAACAGGCGACACTGCTACCGAATCTTGATACTCATAGCAATTCAAGCTCAGAACCTCCCTTATTGAGGAGGGTAGTATTGGTAAGCAGATACATACGCAGATGAAAAGCAAAGGCGCAGTAAGCTTCAACCGGTGTCTGTCGTAAAAAGAAAGTAAGGCACACTTTCCACACCCAGAGAGGTACGAAGTAGCATCAATATCAGGCGTCCAGAGGACCAAACCGCACGGTGATTCTGCGTCTTTTGTCAGCACAGCTGCACATTGCATCGTCTCATCTACGTCAGGAAGGGGCGCATATTGGATGTGATGATCCTGCATCGTGTTGTGTTACAGAAACGTACGTACAGCTTGTTGTTGCCCCGCGGCCGATCGTGCGGAATTTCGACCGGTAGGTCGCGCCACGATTTGATTGGCCGCTCGCAAGGCTCCACCTTTTACAACCCACCTTGCTTTGTAATTCACAGTATACTCACCGCCTAACCATGTAACGATTGGGTTAGACTTTTTCGTCCGCTTTGGGTTACACAGTGGAGCGATAATGCCAAGTGGAACGTGGTGAGCTTGATGGGGGAAGAGCTTCGAGGTATTTGAGGTATCTAGGAGAAGGTGCGAGATACATGATAGTGGAACATAAATAGACTACTGCCCCGCCAGTACAAGCGTTCTTTACTCTCAATCAGCAACAACAACAACGATATCTACTCCATCACACACCCAATCAATAGATACATTCGCCGCCCATACATCACTCACTCAGCCAACATGTCCCTCACCTTCCACAAGATGGCCGTCGCGCCAGCCATCTCCGCCCTCAAAAACGCCCACTTCGTCGTCTCCAAAGGCTACGAACATGCCAAAGCGTCCGACCCAAACACCTTCCTAACTGCCTCTCTCCACCCCGACATGAAGGACTTCCGCTACCAAATCTACCGTCTCACCGACGCTGCCAAGTTCATTCCCAGCCGAGTGAACCCCAGCCTCGAAGGCATAACGCTCCCCGACGAAGAGCAGACCTTCCCCGAGCTACTTGAGCGCATCGAGAAGTGCACCAAGTACCTTGAGAGCTTTTCCGAGAAAGACTTCGAAGGCAAGCAGGATGACGAGGTGATTATCAAGTTCCCCGGTGGCCAGAAGCAGGTCAGGATGCCAGCGTCAGAGTACATTAGCAGGTTTGCGCATCCGAACATGTGGTAAGTGGTTTGTTTTCGAGTGGCAAGGAGTTTGTACTGATCACTACAGGTTCCACATTGTGACTGCGTACGACATATTGAGGATGAAGGGCGTTGATGTGGGAAAGATGGATTTCTTGAATGGTGCGGGCGGAATCACCATTGAGGATGTTCCTCAGCAGTAGACGTGAGCAGTACAGATGTGCAGCGACGCTCTGGATGAAAGGTGACACCCGGGTGGAAAGCAATATACGAACAACGATAAATGAATATTACGGGCGACTTCATGCTCTTCACACTAATTACTGAGAAGTCGTATGAATAACTATAGCAGCCACGAGAGCATCCATCGCCGAACTCTGCGTGCTTGCATTCGCCGGGCTGATCCAAGGCCCAGCCCAATCCACGCTGAATACAGGCAAACCATCTGGTGTGACTTTCCTATCTTGTGTCCAGATAGACTCCGCATTCCTGCGAATGGCATTTGCGAACATCTTGTCCGGTGCTACACTGTGCAGCTTGACCAGGTTCCGCATGAAGATTCCCTTGAACTGAGCGCCATCGTCACCACAATCAGGTTCGCATTCGTCGTGTACGATACCATCCTCATCCGAGAGGGCGATGAGTGCCGCCCGCGCGAGATGAGTTGCGAGGCTGAGAGGTGTGACTTCTGGTGTATCCCCAGCTCGGTATAGTTCGGCGAGACCTCCCAAGATAACACCTTGGTTGTAGGACCACGCAGTTTTGTTATTGTTCTCGCAGTCCTCAGTTAGACCGTCGTTGATTGTACCGCCATCTGTGATCATCCCGCTTTTGAGGAACCATTGTAGACTTTCCTCCGCCCAAGCCAGATATGTGACTCTTTTCCTACGGCTCTGGGCGCGGTTTGCCAGATGCGCGGCTGTGCTGAAGAAGAGTTCGTTGGCGATGGCATTTACATAGTCCTGCTTCCAGCTCCAGTATATGCCGCCGTTAAAGCAGTAAGTGCCCCAGGTGCGTGATACAGCGATGAATATATCTTCCGCAAGTACAAGATAAGCGCCTTCGGAGGTGACGTCGTATGCGTTGATCCAGGCCAGAGCCCACCACAGGTCGTCGTCGTAGAAGCCATCTAACCAGTCGCGATAATCAGGGATGTCACCAGGGTGGTAAAAAGAGTTGGTGTCATGATTGGAAGATGTCCTAGGGAAGATGACCCGTCCAGCATTGTCATGCCAGTTGGGTGGATATGTGACATGAAGGTTGCTGGTATTCGGGTCGAGGTATTTTGTGTACCCAGTTTCAAGGCTAGTTACGTCAATGGCGACAAGCGTCGTGTTGTTTGATCGAGGATCCTCAATACCCGGCTGCGGGTTCTTGGCCGGCGTCTCCAGCAAAGCAGTCACGAACACGTCTCTTGCCAGGTCTTGCAACAGTATATCTGCAGGAGCTGCTTTCGCAAAATCACCGATCATAGTCATAATGTTCGCACCGTTCCACCATCCTGTAGACTCCCAAAGGCCAGTGCTAGTGTTGTACCAATTTTGCAGAGTCTCGAGCGCCAGTTCGGTACGGAATATAGGATCATGGTTTCCACTGTAGTCACTTTGTGATGAAATGTTAGGGATGAATGTGAGGACCAAGAGGAGATATCGAATGAAAAATGTAGACATCATGACGAATCAAGACTCTAGAAGCGACGCGCATCAATGAAAAGTGATAAAGTCGGTATCCGATGCAAATAGGAATGCTAGTAGAAGTTCCAAACAGGAATATGCGATAGTTGAGCCTGTGGCACACATTCGCAGTCTTTACAATATTTCCACTCTTACAGTCGTATGTCTTACCTGCTCAGCGTACGTTCATCACACAAGAACGGCCCATAGCTTGAGGAGGCGACAGTCATCCCCGCAATAGCGAAAGGTGGCGAGAGAAATTGAAGAGTGGTCTTACCTCTTATCAATCAACGGTACCTGACCGCCAGGTAGCTGTTGCGAGAGCTTCGATGGTCCTGCACTAGAAGATGCTGACAATCTTCTTGAGGAGGGCAGGTGAACTGACTGCGCTGCAGAGATCGTAAGCGCACCCAGTTGAAGTAATGTTACAGCAGAAAGGCATGCGCGCATCATGAGGTTGTGTCTGCAAACACCTTTTCGAGATCTCCGTATCAGGGCACGTGGTGGGATATCATAGAATGCTTGCTTGCGATGTGAACGTACGCTTCGGATCTTGGATATGACGGCGCGACAGAGAGCTTGGAAGAGAGAGGGCTTGCGCAAGTTCTCAAAGCCACATGCTTGTGTCACGGTACACCAATCTTGAGGTTGTTCGCGCCGAGTACCCCGCTACCATCCCTGAGGTGATCAACTAGACCTAACTAGCTCATGATTGTCATCGCGCTGGCCGGTTTTGACCAGAAACAGCCAGGACAATCCCAGTAATGTCTTTGCTTGTTCAAAATAGGGATCCGACCGAGAAATGGGCTTCGCGGTTTGTTACGAGAGCGTAAAGGACGCAGTCACAGTCGCAGTCGCAGTCGCAGTCGCAGTCGCAGTCGCAGTCGCAGTCGCATATTCGTCCTTGCACTCTATGCTTGTGCGATCCCAGAGTAATGTCTGGTCGCTTAAAAAGATCAAGCGATCAGGATATCATTACCAAGATCCTTAACCTCTTCCACCCAACAGTTCCCCACCCCAACCCCGGCTTCATCTTTGAATCGCCAGATAGTTTCCAGCACTCGCTTAGACGTATGCAAATAACCCCAAAACATCTGACCATACAACTCGTCTAGTGTATTCATAATCCACTCACGCTGACTAGGATCCTCGCTCTCAGCACCCGCAAGGAATAACGGCCAACAAATCGATTTGAAAAGCGCATCGCCCGGCTTGAGGTGTGAGATATGCTGGACAACGTCGTCAGCGAGAGCAGTGAGACTAACAAGTGCTTCGCCACTCGCTGGATCAAGAAGAGGATTTGTAGAGGGGAGGACGCGCGC